TATATGCTACAAACAAAAGGGGAACAATAAACAACTTACGTTTTTACTATCCAGACATCTGTTTTAGCGCAAATGACTGTAGATACAATGTGTGAATGATAGTGATGTTTACGATTTTATATACAAACTGTGACAATGTAGCAGAACATTGGATCTGGATAACTATGGTAATAATAGTTTGGTTGGTCAGTTTTCATAACAATTTGTTTGCAACTGATAAGATTAGAGTACAAATTAGCTGTAATTGAACCACAGTTAAAATGCATGAGTTAAAAAATCAACGCAGAACCTCGCAGAGAAACGCATCGGTATCAGTTGCCACTGCATAGTAGCGTGCCATAAAGAAATTGGATACAAAGAAGTGACATCAAAGTAGACAAAAGTGTATGATAGGAAAGATAGTTCAGAAAACGCTGAGTGTGAAACTGTCACAGACTGAATACATCAGGGCCTTTGTGACCGATTTTAGCCATATTATCAAATGTTTCCAACCATTGATCCCCATCATCTCGAGGACGTCAGCAAGGCATTCTACGTGTTTCAGCCAAACGGTCAACGACTCCATGAACTGGTGTCACATTTTCTCACCCGATCCTAATCCAGCTAACAGTGTGGCTCGGAATGCACAACTTGTGTCGAAGCCATGTCAGCTGGGGAAGATTCACAACCATCCGTGGTACTCTTTGCCTAACCTCTACATTGATCACACAGTGATTCCGCTACACTGAAGCAGTGCTATGAGACGCCTGTGGTTGGAAACCTGTAATCTCTTAATATCTACTTCTAAGGGTCACGTCTTTAGTGTACGATTGTACAAATTGGAATACAGTGTAGGTAGTACATTAATTGATTAATAGTTAGTTGAATGTTTCTCCAGTGCTACGGATAGTGTTAGTTGATACATGCCAAATTGACCTATTTATCCGAAATGAGATTTCATAGATATCCAACCCACCTGAACCACCGTTCAACGTTTGACAAATGCAAGGGGCATATTGGAAATACTCAGGTTTCTGCGAATCGACGAACGGATGTGTGGGACACTATCCACTTTAGTAAAATTTGTTATGTTGGTTCTTGTAAATAAGTTTTATTCCGTGTTTATGCTTCGGAGCTGTCATTGACGTGTCATTCTCAATGTTGCGGACAGAAAGTTGCAAACATTTATGCGTCGTTTCATGACTTACATTTCTAGAGACATTTAGACTTCCTACTGACTTTATTATGTGAAGCGGCACTAACTGGGAAGTTTTAATAGTATTATACGAAGTTCATCACAATCACAAAGTTGTTTATATTTTTTATCTTCATCCTAACTCGCGAATATCCAATGCTAGTTGTTTCTGTTACACCTCTACTTTACTCTTTATTGTCTGCTTTAATACTGTTCCCGTTCCTACTTATCCAAGAACAAAATGTGACAGGTTGATCTCGTAACTTTTTGTAAGAGGTTTTACGCTGTTAATGTAATTATAGAATTCGAGCTCTGTGGTAGAGTGTAATTGCTTGTTAGATTAGTTTGATATAGCACACAGTAATCCAGTTTAATGTACTACTCGATATTTCGAGCACAAAGTGTTCTTCACAATCACTTCAAGGCAATCACGTTGATTCTGACTGTGATTGGAGTACCACTTAAGCCTAAAAACTTATTTCGAAACAAGCTTTGTAGTTTGAAGGGTTATATTGATGCAATTAAGCAACATAGTTTAGTTTACTAAGTCATTTTCAATAATTATTAGGTCGAATATATGGGTCGTAGTTGTCAACCGTAGTCCATTGGACTGTCCAGGAACAAATTGTTAGGATTTGTAGACCTTAATAAGATTAGGAACCTATAGAAAAGTTCGGCTATTACAATACATGTGATTATATGTAATAGAATAGGACAGCGACAGTAATAAAAAATCAGTCAGGTGGGGGTTAGAAGTTGCTGACTAGTTCTTAGTTCATCGAATCGATGCCAAATGCGTAGAACATGAATGAGTCAGAACTTGTTCCGGATATATAGAAAATTCTACTACCTACATCATGAAGGAAGAAAAAGAATTAGAGCTATATATATGGACAATAAGTTGTGTCCGAAACGTAATCCAGTAAATAATACTATGTGGTACACGTAATCAACAAACTAAAATGGAATTAAAACCTACCACAGTGCCCAAGTCATACTTCTATATTCCTAAAGTGTTCTTATCTATTTTCATTCCCTTCGATGATTGTTGACATTATAACTCTGATTTCTGTTTTTTTTCTCTTTTTATTTTCCTCCTCATTATATTGGTGCTAGAACTGACCATTACTCCAGGTAATAAATATACTGTTTCTGTTTTTTTCATCACCGAATGAAATCATCTAACACTTTTACTTGTCGAATAGCCTGTCAACTGGTCAGTCTATTTTCTTTACAGTCATTAAATCAAATGGCAATGAAATTAAGTTTATAAACAGTAATGACGTGTGATTTCTTTAACCATTGTCGTTTAGATGAACAGTAGGTGCTAGCTTCTAAAGTTATGGTTTATTTTGTTTGGCATTCGTTTAAGTTAATTTCTTTCACAAGATTGCACTAAGGAGTGTTTATGACAAAATATGTCATCTTATTATCCTATTTTTGTACATGGTTGTATTATTTTTCTCCAATCTTTTGAGTGTTCAGGAATTTTCTCTGCTACAGCTCCACTTATGTAGATCCTGGGGGAGGAGTGTCACCGTTTGTACTGCAACAAGAAAGTAGGCATTAAATGAATGAAATTAGAATAAGTAGACTTCTGGCATGTCAAAACTGTTATAGCAAAAGCTGATAACATTTCTAACGTACCGCTTGTCTATGTCTTGAAGCGTATCTTGCAAAAGTCAATCCTTTAAGTCCCTTACCGAGTTCATGGGGTTATCATTTGAATCCAGTGTTCATACTATACAGTTCTTATTCCAGTTATTTCAAGGAGATAATCCATTTACTCCATATCTGCAACCATCTGTTTTTCTCATCTAGTTCTTTACTAGAGCTGATTCCATCGTAACCATCATTTTTATGACCTTTGTTCACCTCTTATTTATCTTGTTTTTTTAACTTTTGACAGCTATAAATATTCAGTTTTTGATTAGATGTCACATTTCATTCTTTTATTCAATCGTATTTATGCATACGTTGGAAATTCTATGCGTATAAGTGTGGGCTTTTGTGAGTGATCTGATGTTGCCATTGTTGATGATCTTATGACTTCATTCTTGTCATTCTGTTCCTGTGTTTTTGGCACTATTAACTGTATGTAGTTATTTGATTACTTCTGCTAAAATTACTGAACACAATATTTCTTTATACTTTTTTTCATTTTTCATTATTTCCTTTTTTAGGTCCATCTAATTAAGAAGCCAAATAGTAATCGCACTACTCTTCTAACCTCGTGCTTATATCTAACAGTGGTAAAATAACATATGATGAATCGTTATTCCACCACTTATACATCAAGTTATCGTCCTTTCGATGAAAATCGACGACCGAATCTGATAAATAAGTGTATTGCTCCCCCTCCTCCACCACCACCTACTACAGGTCTAGCATTAAATTCACATCATAGTGTGAATAGCACCAGTCTGCCGCATGGATCTTTGACGTGGGTGTCTGATCCCAATCACCATCCAACAGCAGGTACAAATTACACCCACGCATCCCCAAATCTGTCATGTAGTCATCGTTTATCAAATAGCAGCACAACAAATCAGACAATGAACAGTCTAGGTGGATTACATCGTATCATGTGGGATGATTATGAAACACCAATCAGTGATAAGCCAAGATCAAAGCTGATGGAAGCTTATAATTCTCATTTACCTGTTAGTAACTTATCATTGAAAACCAATGGAATTACAAAAGACGATAACACCAATACGCTTAGTAAACGTAATTTCAGCAGTACATATACTACTGTTGTGTCGGATAAATTAAATCCGTGTTCAGTGATTGCAGCTGCTGCTGCCTACGAAAATAATTGTGATAAACAGAATATATCTACTGCTACAACAAGTACTTCGCAGTCAACACAAGGTAACTCAAGCTATTGTGCATCAAGATCAAGAACATTGTCAACTGTTTCACCGTTGTTCAACACTTCGGATAAATCACAGAAAAATTGTGACATACTTGCCAAATCAGGAACTAATTCTACTGGTGGTAATCGTGATATTACTGTCTCACCAATTATACCTTATAACAGTCCTTGTCAAATAGATTTTACGCAAATGTTCAGTCAAATCGCACGTATTAATAACCATTTATTTCTAAGCAGTTTGAATGCTATCACACCAGATAGACTGCGTCAGCATGGTATTACACTGTTGGTATCTGCAATGATTGACTCTCCACCAGCTCATATTCGTAATGCTGTTCTGAATACAATTCATGTCCCGGTGGAAGATGTGGAGACTGCAAACTTACGTGTCCATTTTGACAGAGTATCCGATCGTATAGCCGCTGAAAGTCGTCGTGGAGGTAAAACATTGATACATTGTATGGCAGGTGTATCACGTTCTAGTACACTTATACTGGCCTATTTAATACGTCATGCAAATATGAGCCTTGCTGATGCTTATCAACACGTACGCAGTATCAGACCGTGTATCCAACCAAATCCTGGATTCTGGCGACAGTTATTAGAATATGAAGAAAAACTACGTGGTAGTCGCTCCGTTCGTTTACTTCCATCTGTTAGTTACAGTAGTTTATCAAATGTGAATTATAATACCAGCAGACCACTGTATTCCAGTAGTCCACGGAATATCTCTAGTCCATCTTACTCTGATATATTTAGCAGGACAAGTGGAGATATACTACCGAATAGATCTTTCATCTCACTTTATCCATTAGATACAATTGGTTGCCGTCAACCTCTTGGTTAAAAAAAAAAATAAAAAATTACAACATTTATGGTATGGAAGCATTTTGTTTTTCAAATTGAGGAATGTATTTGCTATTATTGAGCAGAAACACTTCAGATTTATTGTTAATTCCATCTACCATATCTAAAATTATTTTCCAGACTATTTTTGTTTAAAAGTTCGAGAAGAATTGAAGCAAATTCTTTTCTAAAAAAACAAAAATAGAATTGAGCCTTTTCGCTCATTTGTTAATCAAATCGTATAAACACAAACATATTTCGGTAAGTTTCCCCATTTATTCATCGCACAACAAATGCAAATTACCAAACAGCTTGTTTTTGCCTACTTGATTCCTACTTCTGTTATTATTATTATTACTATTATTAAAGATAAAGATGAAAGACACTGTGAAATATTTGATTTCTTCTTTCTACACTGGCTTGTCATTTTCCTTCTAACATTTTAATTTAGTGAGTACATGTGCTACTAACACATCGTTCTCCTCACTTTTTAGACTTTATTCTGTTCTCTTATTCCTGGTAGAGTATGGTGTCTCGACCACTCGTGTATGTATGCACATATATGCTAAGCGTGAAGATATAATTATTGGCTAGTACAAAACTCAATACACCGGCTTTTACTGGTTCTAGAAACCGCATGTATATGTGAGAAATTCCTTTGGGAATTTATCATTTTCACAGATAAAGATATGAGATTTATTCCATTGATTCACTCATATTATGATATTAGTGTACTCTCAACATTAATATGCATACTTTTCAATTTCGAAGGGAATAAAGCTCATTGTTGTTTCACTTCTTTACTCCATTCAATGTCTAATAGCATATCTCTAGCAGACTGTAATCATAATGATATTAATATACATGTAATGACTGAAGCTGGGAATAATAAGTACACTACTTTATATTTATTTTTCTTAGTTTACTTTTATTTGATTCACAAAGAAAATATTTATATGTAAACTTAGTAGTCTCAAAGTGTTTCCGTTTCTTTCCGATTTTAACAAGATTTTTATGGTGTAAGAAGGCTATTATAGATCACTAAGGAAGTGACATTCCCCTCTCTCCTTCCAACTGTTAACACTGAAGAAATGTACATGTGTACGTTTTATTGTTAGGTTGTTTACCTGTGTGCAAGAAAGTGAAAGTCTTTGTTCATTTAGCTTTCTAGAAAAGGTATATTTTACGGTTTATCTCTTATTTTTCATTATTCATTGACTTGTCTATCCATCGTTTCTTATTTCATAAGTATTTATAAACCCGTGGAAGTTGGTTGATTTGAAGGTGATGATGCCAGCAACATTTACCGATTGTTATGTTGAATTTTCATTCATCGTTAAACCTGGTCACGGTGGTTGCTACATTGTGTATTCTTTTTCTAGCTTGTTTGCACTCTTTTTAAAGTATTCATATCCCAGTTTCTCGATTTTTTTAAAATTTCCTCTAATTATTTTGTATTACTTCGTTTCTTGTGTTTGCACTTTCTGTTTCGTATATATTATTCATTTGCTAGAGATATCAAGAAACCCCAGATACTTATATTTCAGCTTTAGAGAGAGAAAGAGACAATTTCATATTTTTTTCCTATATATATATTATTATTATGACTATTGTTATTCATAATGGTGTCTTATTGATGTATTAAAGACTGCTTTGTTTTATTTTGTTTTACTGCAAACCGAAACATTTACTGTATGCATCAAAGAACGCATATATATATATATATATATATATAATATATATATATATATATATATATATATATGCATGCTACACACTACGTGTATGCAACTACATTTTCCTTCGTTTTTGTAATAAACCCATATTATTTCTTCAATAGAGCTGTACTACTTTCTTCGAAGAAAGCCATTTATTTTGTGCTAAATAAATATGATTGCCTATGCGTAGCTTTGCTTTGTGCGTTCGATGAACTTCCTGAGTGTATATTAAATATGTTTCGGCTATATGCATAGGGTTACTCACTAGAAAATGAGTTTCGATTGTCCCCCGAAGATAAAACATTGAACATTACTTTGTGAATGTATTCGTTTCTGTAATTCACTGTAATAGGTGTTTTCTAACTCTTTCAGTTGTTAGAGTACACTAATCCTTAGTAATGTTGTACTCAGTAGAATCTCAATTCGATAGTTAATTCATAGGTAAATCCACTTTTAGGAGGGCTGTGGCTCATTGTTTTAGGTAGATAACTTTCAACCAATGGGTCGCCGATTCTAGCCTCTCTCCACCTACTGAGGTTTGGGAAGCCAGATAGTAGTATCATTGGCCCTCACACAATAAATGTAGCTCATTGTCTCTACTTCATCAATGTGCACACGGTTTCTGAGTGGATTTCGATTTTTTCGATTCGAAACCCACTTTTATAATCTAATCACCACTATTATTATTTTATCTTACACTGGTAATCAGTTGAATATTTTGATATGCTTTGCAATTTCTATAGGTTATTGTATGCGTTGGTTAATTACTAAGTAAGTCGACACAACTGTCGTTTAGTGTTGATACTTTTTCTAAACTGCTGGACTATTTGATATCTACATATACAATGCCCAATAAATTGTGCCCAAGCTGTTATTTAGTACATAGTAGTATATCACTGTGTATTACATCTAATGAAGAAATCTGATGAAGAAAAACGCTTTACTTCAGTTCCCGATTTCTGCGCTAATATATCTCATCATCGGAAATTTATAGCCTTGTTTACAGTTATATAAATAATTTTTAGTATAATCCCAGCGTGTTTAGAAAATCAAACCAAGATTTTATTCTGAACATTTCATCGTATATGCCACAGCTTCTTAAGAAATTTAAAGTTTAGTTTGTAGCAAGGATGTGTTATCCAATAGGCGGTAAGTTTGGAACTATCAGTTTCACATATCGTTTTCTGATTTATAGCTTAGAGGAATCCATCTGTTAAGTGTCTAATAGGCTTTTTATTTCCAAACTATAACAGTTCGATCGATAAACAGAAGAAAAATTGTTTCGTATTCAAGTCTTCAGTGGATAATCTGTTCTCATAAAGTCATGGTCATTTTTCCGTAAATTAATTTGATCACACTGGCTCTTGATTACAGTTTAGATTGTTTAAACAGCCTTTGAAGCATTTTCTGTACTATGACTACATAGACGCTATAAAGTGTGCATGAAAATATTCTGACTTTCATTTACTTCTCTCTTCTACCACTAGTCTGCAGTATCATTGTTAATTTCTAAGACAAAATATATTTCTTTATCAATCTTCTCATTTATCTCCCAGATATCCTGATGTTAACTCAAATCGTACACTGAACTGATATCAGTTGAAGAGGTTGTTGATTCGTTTTGCATGATACCAACAGGGCAGCTGTAGCCTAGATGCTGAACTAACAATTGGTATCTGTAATACGTTAAGTTTGTGGGCCTGATATATTAAAAAGTACTGCAATAGTGCATTAGTCAATAGTTTAAAACCGCGATGAGATATTTATTCATAGTGAAAAGTTGTGCAATAACTTTGTGTTCAAATGAGTACACTATTCCAAGTGGCTAACACGATTTCCCTGACCTCTTAACCATCCACTATTTTTACTGTTTTCTCACTCGTAGTTTGCTGTCTACTTTTTGGGAATCCCACCGCCCTCTACATCGCATGTTGACGTAAGTCATCAGTCTGCCGAATAGCCTAAGATCTCTGCAGACAGATGTTTTCCCATAAGACGGCAAACCACTTATCGATTACTGGTATTCAGTCGTGAAATCAGTAGATATCATTTTGAAAAATACCTCAAGATTTGTCAGCACCCCATATTTGGAGGATATAAATGAAATAAATGACATTGGCGACCAGCTTTGAGAGGTGGTTCCCGAAGTTCCAATGCGAAGTCGTGTCCGATGAGGCCAACCAAATTGAACATGAAGACAGTTACTCAACGACGGCATTGGATGGAGGTCGCGCTATATCGTGAACTAACATGTAGGAAATATGGATCATTAGATTCCCACTCAGTGGCTGAATAGTAACGTGCTGGCCATAGAACCTGAAGTTCTTGGGTTGGTCCGTGGTGGGGTCATGGGCGCGCACTGCTGAGGAGTCTCATACTAGGACGAAACAGCTGTCAAGTGCTCCCATGTTTCTAGGGGTTTCCCAACTGATGTCATTGTATGATGAATAGCAACCTGAAACGTATAAAAAATCAGAATTTTTTAAACTTTTAGTTTCGCCATCTTAAATTTATGGTTTTTTACGAGGGGAATGTACACTCTGCTGAGTTTCATTGTATCCGAATCTGTTAATTAGTTAATCGTGAGATCAACAGTTAGTACAAGTAGTCTAATATTTTGTAGTTTCAAGATCGTATTTTAGCAGGTCCTGAGGTCGATTTCAGTCTATCCTAAAAGTATCAGATAAGATGATGCCTTTCCACTGAATTCACCATTAGCTTCCCGGTTTATAGGTAGTGTTTACTACGAGAAATACTGTCATACTCTAATGTCACTGACAGTTAACTGCGTACGCGTTGGAAACACTTATAGGTTACATTTCTGTTACTGTATTTTATTGGTCAGAATAAAAAACTAACAAAATCAGATATGCTGTAACCTATGTGATTTTACAAAATCACGTTTCGCTTAAATGTTTATGGGACATTATGACCTTGGAAAAGACGATCGCAGTTACTTTTTCTTCACACTTAAAGAATGTACTTTTAACCTTAAAGTGGAATGTGAACTTCTATATCTTGTTTACTCTTTCATTCTCTTGCCCCTTACTAAACAGTGGTCTATGTTTATTACGTCAACGATTACTATGAAATTTGGCTTGCCCTCCAATCTTTTTTCTCTTTGCAGGAGAGGGGCCACAGTAAACAGGAGATATACTCACGTGATTCTAACCTGTGAATTTTACCTAAAGAAGCAGTAGTTAAACACACCTGTGCAGGCTATAAACTACTATCATGTAGATATCTGTGTGTATGTGAGATTTTCTCGGTTGAATAGAAAGGA